TTTTATATATAAATATATAAATATATATATATATATATATTTATATATTTATTAATATAATTTATAAGGTCAAGTACAAATTTTTGTTTGACAATTTCAGAATAATAACAAGGCTTTTTTTAAATATTTTATTAAATACTACACATACATTTTTCATCTGTTTATTAAATAGATAAAATAGATAGAATAGATAGAATAGATAGATGTGGGTTAAATTAAGTTGAGACATGATATACATTTAAAAAAATCAGATTGAGTACGTAAATAGTTTAACTTTAGTAAAGGAAAGAGAAAGAAATCAAGTAAAAAAGAACTGAGAGAATACTTGCGCGCGCAGGTGGCGCGATACCGGTGCGTCAGAATCAGTGGTCATCATTTCGCCCAGGAGAGGGAAAGAAAAAGAGAGAAAGAAGGAATAATTTTATAGAACAGAGAGAAATAGAATAACTGCGCAAGAGGAAGAAAATACAACGGATTCATATAACGAATGAAAAAGATAAAAGAAAAGAGGAACAAGAAATATACAACGAAAGACACGAAGGTGCTTACATACGGGGCGGGCCTGCCAGTCTCAACCACTTCGTGGAGTGTACTTTTTATGTATTCAAAATTCTGTATTCAAATACGTAACTATTCTCAATTGTTAGTTGTTGCTATATATGAAAACTTGTGATTTATTCGATGCAGAATAAAAATTGTTAGATGGCGTGATCTTATTTGTAATCAATTAATAAATTGTGAGTGAAGATTGTTATTGTGAGTGAAGAGATTGTTATTGTTGATTGATTCGCCTTGCCGGCTATCAAAATCATTAGAAAAACAATAATCGTAACATAAATAACGACAAGAAATAATTTTCAAAATTTTAGTGTCAGTGGTAGTGTTGGAGAGTGGTAGTGGATCAAGAAGACGAGTGTGCACAAAAAAGGGTTGTTATGGGGCGAAAGTGTCTACTTTTGACGCTGTATTTGCTGACTATATTCGGTTTTCTCGCAGCGAATGCTTTTTCTACTAACAGTGAGTGGCATTTTTCTATTCTATTGAATGGAAAAAAAAGAAAATTAAATATTAATAGAAACATTATTATTCAAAATATATACAAGTTATGATATTGTTGATTGTTAAAATGTGTATGGAATATGTCATGCGCTGATATATGCTTACATAATCGACATCATTCGCGTACATTTTTCATAAAAATTAAAAATTAATTAATGCAAAATTAAATGAAGAATAGATAAAAAAAAAAAATATCTGATGTATAATTCAGTATTTTTATGAATTTCATGAAAAAGGATATTGATGATAAGATGCATTACTCAAAAAATGGAGAAAATGCGATAGATGGAAGCACGTGAAAATTTTGCTATATCGCGTTTCTCGTTTAATATTTAAAATTAATTTTTATTTATTTATATAAAATTGAATTTCACAAAGAATTGAATTTTTAATATCAATTACTTATTTTTACATCTATTATTATAAATTGTTTATTTTTTTTAAATAAATTACTCAATTTTTTTTATATAATTTTTTAAAATTTTTTAAAAACGCGACATTTATATTTATTTATATTTATATTTATTTAATTAAAAATTTAATAGTTTTAAAGTCATAATAATATTTAAATAATATTATATATGCTAAATATATATAAATATTTTTTCTTCTAATAATAAATTATTATATTTTATTAAATTATATGAATAATAAATTTAACAAAAATAAGAAATTTTTATATATAATATTATAGTATTATATTTAAATTATATAAAATATACAATATACAGTAACATGAATACAGTACATTTATGCATATAGGCATTCATACAATTTTATATATATATGAATTGAATCAGTGAAAAACTTTGCCGAAAATATTAAAAATAGGAATAAGAAGAAAAAATAGAAAATTCTTATTTCTGTTAGACAGAAATAAATTCTTAATCTTTGCATTTTTGTGAAAAATCCTTAAAATATTTTAGTTTAAATATTGCAGTTTTGTATTATTAAAATTCGAGAGAAAGATAACAATTGTAATTAGCTTTAATCTAAAACAAATCGCGAAAAAATATGTAAAAATGAAACACGCATTTATTGGCATTATTATTTCTAGTTAAAAAAAAAAAAAAAAAACATGTGAAATATATTAAACAATAGTAGATATTCGATAAATAAGGGAAATGCATGAGTTTCGATTTTATCTTTCGCGAAGTTGTCTTATTAATTGAAGCTAATTACAGTTAATGGTTATTTTCACAACTTCTAATAATGGTATGAAGTTGCAATATCTGAATTATCCGAATTGAAATATTTTCTAAATCAATAATTTTTTAACATAAATAGAAATATTTTCTTATAGAAAAATAAATCGAATGCATTAAAAATTATATCGTTTTATTATAAAAGAAAAAATTGATTTTAAAATCTTCTCTATTTAACTTGCAAAAAATGACCATATGATCTTTTTGAATCAAATAACTTTTAAACATTTTTTAATTTCAACTTCTTATGATATTATAATTTTCACTTAAACGAAATATCTGTTTTTTGAAATTTTTATTAAATTCTTATCTTATATTGTATCAAAAATTTAGTCAAACTTAACAAAACAAAATTATTATTTAGAAAATAAAAAATAAATAATTAAGAAAATATAAATATAATAAATATAATTATTGTAATTATTATAATTAAAAAGGAAAATATAATATATTTAGATATAATATATTTAGATATAAATTATATATATATTTCTATAATATAATTAAATATATATAGATTTTATTAAATATAAATATATAGATTGTATTAAATATTTTATTAAATATTTTATTAAATATTAATAAATAGAAATGAAACAAAAAGTACAAAGATAATTTTTAATTTATTCAATTTGTATATTTTTATTTTAATTTTTCATATTAATATTTGATAATTTATTCAAAGCAATTATTTAATATAAAATAAATAAAAAATAGATAAAATTGAGAATAAAATTATTTTAAATATTGCTAAGATTATATAAAATATAAGATTATAATGAAATTATAAAGAAATGAGATAAATTCATATTTTAAGATATTACAACAGTTTAAATTAAAAAATAAGATTAAATTATATCAGCTTTGTTATAAAAACATTATACGAATTTAAATTTTATTTTTTATTAATTATAAATTTTATTATTATTTAAACAAATAAAAAATTCTCTATCTAACAAACACAAAAAAAAATCGTATTTGATCGTTTATTAACATCACAATACATATAATATCGAATACAATAATGCAATATCGAATACGATTCTTGTTTTAATTACAAAATATTTATCTTCTGCTTTTTAAATGTAAACATAAGCTTAAACATTTATTTCGATTATTGATAAGAATTTTTGTAAATATATATTATAAATATTTATATAATATTATACATTAATAACGATTTTTTTATTCTGAAATTATTATTTGTTTATAATATCAAAGAAATTAATATTTCATTTAAATATCAATAAATTCGCGCAGTTTATAAGATATCATTAGTAATAATATTAATTTACGATTTACAAATTTTGATCAAATGAAAAAGTAATATTAATATGTTATATTAATAAATTAAAATGCTTTAAATGATAATGTAAATATTTTTTTATAGATAAAAATAAAAAGTGATCAATATTTATAAATTTATTTATAAATATATTTTTATTATTATTATAATTTTATTTTGATATTTTATTATAAATATCTTCATTTAATTGATATATATTTGCTAAATTATATATGCTAAATTATTTTGAAAACAAATTACTATATTATTTATTATATCAAATTGTACATGATTTTATATGTACATGTTTAAGATATTAAAGGTTCAATTTTAATTTTTTCAAGTTTTATATTATTATTTTCATATTATCATTATATTTAAATAATATGAGAAAGATTTAAAATCACTTAAAAAATGTAAAAATAAATTATTTTATTTAATTTATTATTAAAAGTATTTATTATTAATATATTATTATATTATTAATATATTATTAAAAGTATATTAAAGTATTAATATATTAAAAATAAATACAAGTTTTGATAATTTAATAATAATAGAAAACATGATAATGAAATGAATTCAATTCTTTTATTATTAAACATTTTATAATATGGAATTTAGTATTTTATTAATTATTCTAAATGACAATTAATTGCATAATATTGAATATGAGTTTATAAGAAAAAAACTTCAAAAATTTAAAAAATTATGAAACTTATATGTAATGCTTATGTAAATATGTATTACGCAATTTTTTTTTACTATTCGACTTTAAATGGAATTGGGATGGAATTGATCTTTGAAAATTCGATTTTATATTTTTTCGATTTTAACTTATAATTCGCAAAATAACGAGATAAAAAGAAAGAAATACAAGAAAAATTTTCAAATAAAAGTTTCATAATTAACTATCATCTAATAAAACATTTATTAATTATTTATACAATTAAAAGAAGTTATAAATAAAAAAATTAATAATTTTTTTAAATTTGTTTTTCTTAGTTTTGATCAGTAGTTTAAATAACTATGCAATAGTATAAAAAAATATTTTTTATTTTTACGAAGTATTTTGTTATGTTATTGATTTTCGATATTATTAAATTTTTAAAAATAGAAAGAAATTTATATATATATTTTTGTTTTTTGTAAACATTGGATCAATATACTAGATGAAAATAGAAAAAAAAGAAACTTAAATGTATAACTATTTTATAAGATCTTTTTATTTAATGTTGTCAAACTTTTTTATTTTTTTTTTTTTTTACTTTCGAAAATTTAACAACAAAAGTCAACAACACAATAAAACTGTATTTATTAAAAACAAAAAATATTTTTTATAGCATAGTTATTTAGACTGCTGATTAAAATTTTACATTGAAAAACATATTTAAAAAAAATAATTAATTTATTTATAACTTTTTTTTAATTATATAAACAATTAATAAATCTTTTACCAGATATGATAATCCTTATAAAAAAAAACAATTTTTATCTAAAAATTTTGTCCGTATTTTTTTTAATTTGCGAGTTAAAACATAAAATCGAAAAATAGTCGAATTTTTAAAAATTGATTTTACTTCTTTAAAGTGATTTTGGGTAGCAAAAAAAAAAAAAAAAAATTAAAAATAAATAATATATATTAAGCATTAAATATCTTCAAAATTTCATAATTTTTTAAATTTTCGAGTTGAGGATCTTTCTTTATAGTTAATATTTTAACATTGATAACAATAACTATTATTTTTAATAAAATTAAATTTAAATAATACGAATTTTTAAATTTGGATTGATTGTATAAATTGAAAACATTTATAAAATATTTAACAGAATTTAATATTTATTACAAAATTATCGAAAATAATTTTCTTCTCTTAATTTTAAAGTGAAACAGTTTTTTAAAATTGTATATTTATTATTATTTAATGTAATAATTGCATTGAAAATAAAAAAAAATGTAAATAAATATATATAAAAAAATAGATATATGCGAATTGCATAGAAATGAAGTATAACAAAAATACTAATGTGTTTAATAATAAAGTATGAATATTATGCTTTTAAATTTTTTTTTTTAAAATTATGTTTTTAATTTTTTTTTTTAATCTCATTTTTTTCTTATTTTATGATTCTCTAAACAATTATTTTTTTAAACACAGTATATCATTATATTGCGATATATTATTTTTATTTTGTTCTAGATGAATCTTGTTCTTTAAGACAATTTCAATGTGCAAATGGTAAATGTATACCACTTCCATGGATTTGTGATGGAACGGATGATTGCGGAGATAAATCCGATGAAACTATTAAGAAATGTGAAGGTGAGTGATGAAACGGATATTCAAGTTTATTCACATGTAAGGAAAGATAATCAAATGTAGAAAAGATAATCGAATGTTTTAAGTAAAAAAGATGACAAATAAAATACGATTCGTACAATCTATTTGCGCTTATGTTTATTTTTTCATATTTCATCGATTAAAAAAGTATTATTTGATAAAAAAACAAAATACATTCAATTAATATTGTTATCAGTTGATATAATATATAATAATCAGTTGATATAATATAATAATCAGTTGATATTAAATTAGGATTGTTAAGCTTGTCTATTAAGTTGCTGAAATTTATATTATTTAAATTAAATTGTTATTTATAATATGTCATTTTATATATCAATGTGATTCAGTATTTTATTTGATTTGATCTTATCAAGTTGCTTCCTTTGACTGATTTAAAAAAAATAATAGTTCTTATGTCATGTAATTTTTATTTTCAATTTTGTTTTTGTTAATATAATTCTTCAAATCAAGTCGATCATTTCCGAATTTTGCAATTAATTATGCTAAACAAATCATTTTTGCAAATATTCTAAAATGATTTTTGTTTTTTTATTTTTTTATTTAAAAAATTAAATTTTTTAACGAATCTTAATTCTTTGAAGATATAATTTTTTGAAGATAATTTATTTTTTTATTTAAATCGATTGCTTTTTTCGAAATATAATTTTTAATAATTCATTTTTTTTGTATTTTTAATAATTCTCTTTTTAATATCATTCTTGTTGCTATTTTAAATATGATGTTTATTATTTGAAATTGATTGAATTCAAATAACAGAACAAATAAATTAAATTAATATATCAATGATTATTAGTTAGCTTAAATATAATTATTAGTTAGCTAAAATATATTATATTGTGTTTTCTTATAGATAAAATAATGTCATGTAAGCTTACTTGTTAGAGATTTTGAGAAAAGAGATTTTTTTTATTTATTTCTATTTATATCATTATTATTTATATACATATATATAATTTATAAAACACACACACACACACACACACACACACACAATAAAATATATTTGAAAATAAATTTTTTAGATTTTTATTATTTTTATTTTAATTAAGAATGTTGATAATTTGATTTATATAAATATGAAAAATAAAATGGACTTGAATTTTGAAGAAAACTTATAAGAATAAATTTTCGAACGTAAGTAGTTATGATTAAATCTAATTTCTTATTTACAAAAGATAGCTAAATAAATATCGATAATATGTTATATTATATATGATTATAATGTAATGATAAAATAATTATAAATAATAAAAATATAATAAAAAAATATAATAAAAATACAATATTTCACAAAAATTTTTATATAATATATTTTATATAATAAATTGTAATATATTTTGTATATATATATAATATATATATTATATAATGAATTATAATAAAAATTGTTCATATTTTTCGATTGATGAAGTATGTTTTTTCATGTTTTTTCATCTAAAGTAAGAAATTGATTGAATAGTTAATTGAGAAATTTAGTAGAAAGCAAATATATACTATATCAATTTCGTTATATTTTCTATCATTGTCATAATTTATTTATTATAATTGATAAATGAATTTCAATTGAAATTTTATAATGCTTTTTATTTATTATCTAATTTATGTATTACTTAAAATAAGTATGATTCCATACTACATTTTTTATGAAAACAAAAATTTCTTTAATATGATCTTGTCTAAAATTGTAAAAAATATGATATGTTTCTCTCAATTGTTTTTTTATTATTATAGATTCTTTGATTGAAAAGAATCATAAGATGAAACGAAATTTGTTGATTATCGTGTTTCGATATAATATATGTTATAATGTCAAGAATAAATATTGTTATATAATATATAATATATCATATTCGTAATGGAAACGCGTAATATATATATATATGAAATATATATATATTGTATATATACATATATATTATTTACAAAATCGAGGATATAAAAATTTTAAAGTGATTCTAGAAAAACTTTTTAAAACAATGATTAATATGTATATAATATAATTCAATTTTAAAGCTTATTTTTCAAATCATAAACATTAATTTTACAATAAATGTTATGAGGTGATTATTTATATACATAGTTTTATATATTTTAATAGAAAAATTATTTTTAAAAATTTCTAAAATTGATAATAATTTCTAAATATTATAATAAAATAGATATTATTATATATTCTTTTCTTTTTATTTATCTTTTATTAAATTCGAAATATAAATTGTCCTAATTGTGTAATTTATCCTAAATTCTTTCAAGATATGTTTATTCTAGTGATCTCTTTATATAATATTCATTGATGGCCAAATCTAAAAATAATTATAAAACATGATGTTTAAAGAATAATATTTGCATATTCAGAATTTAAGCATAAAATTGAAAACCAATCATATTGAAGGGACTATCTACGGAATTGCTTTCACGGTATTTTCTTCATTATCAGCATTATCTTTTATTTCACTTTCGCTTTCAGTATCTGAAATAATACGCATTTTTTTTCTTTTACGGTATGTATTGGGATAATTTTCATTCCCATTGTTGTTAGAATCTTCGTTAATATTCTTCGTCAAATTCTTCCTTGCTTTCACATAATTCGTTTATATCAAAATCCGATCCAGATTAGTCTTCATTTATGCTTAAGTTTATGCTTAAGTTATTCTTTTTATTCTTCTTATTATTCTTTTTATTAATTCTATATCTTTTGAAAACTTGCTCATAATATCTTTAGCTAAATAGGCAAAATATAAATGTAAAAAAATATATTTTTTTGGATAAATTTTGAAAATATCTTGAAAAATTCAAATCTTCACTTACGAAAATAAATTTTTGCTAAATTTTCAAATAGCATTTATTTTTTTTTTTTATAAAACGCATTATTAAAATTATTTCTCACGTGGATCTATTTGTTTTATAAAATAATAGGATAAATTCACTTACAAAAATCACTTTTTTTCTCTGCAAAATTCATCGTTGAAAAGATTATTTGTTATCATATCACAATTGTAAACAATTTGTTTGATCATGTATTTATTGTTAAACAGTCGTCATTTGCTTGGTATTGTTTTTTTTTATTCATTGTTATTTCATTTTTGTTATTTCGCAATAATTGATCTATATAAATTAACCTATCAAATTGATGGATTTTCGTAAAAATAGGTATACATCTAGAAATAATAAAATATAAATGTTCCAGAGAAAATAATTAGAAATGTATATTTACTGCATTATATCATTAAAAACCAATATATAATATTTAAAGAATAATATTTGCATATTCAGAATTTAAACATAAAATCGAAAAAAAACCAATCATATTGACAGGTTCCGTAAATTTAATGTTAAAAAATATCAAAATTATTAGTACAAAAAAATGTTTGAAATAAAAATTGGATAACATCAAAGTAAATATAGTGTTTTAATATGAATCAAACTGAAATATTTTTTAGTTTCCATTTATTTGCATAATAGGGTCAATATAAGATTAATGGAATATCAATGAGATTGAATCGTTTGAACCATTAAAAAAAAAAGATTCTATAATTTGAATAAAATAATTTTATTATTAATTATTTGTTATCTAACAATATATTTCTTGTAATTTAAATTATTGATCTAATTATTGCATTATTTTTATTTTTATTATTTTTTTTTATATTTTAATAATCATTTTTATTTCATTTTAATTATATTTTAAATTTTTATTCTATTATTAAGTTATTTTATAAGTTCTATAGATTTTAATTTTTTAATCTCCTTTTCAAAAAATTTCTTGTTTTTTTCAATGAAAAATTTTAGTTATTTTAACGTTAATTTTTAGTTCAATTTGATTAATTGAATATATAGAATAATTTGATTAATTATATCAATATTAAAGAAAGTATATAGGATTATAATATTTAAAACAATTTTTTAAATAGTACAGAATATCTTTTGCTTTATTTATGTGTGTGCTATATTTTTGAATAACTAAATAAAATAGACATAGCAAATTAGATTAGAAATATTATTAAAAAAATAAATTTTTTGATTGAATTTTTATTTTAATTGAGTTAAATTTTTATTTATTAATATAAAATGATATTGCAAACTTCGATTTATTAAAAATATTGAAATATTGAAGAAAAATGGTAAAGTCTAAAAGAAAACTATGCAGAAAAAAAACATCGAAAAATAAGATAATATCGCTGAAGGAATTAGATAACAGCTATTCATAGAAGTGAATACTCTTTCTCTATTTAGTTTCTTGAAATATTGATTATTTATACTTTATGTTCTTTTTGTAAATTTTTTAATAGATTATTTTTTAAAAATTCATTAAAACAATCGTTTATTAATATTTTATTTTTTCTTGCAATTCATTTTTTTATATTATTTTTTTAATAATTTTCTACATATTTTTTTTTAAATTTTATTGAATCTTTAATCAATTTAACTAAAAAATGACAAATTTTATGAATTGATATAGACTAACCAATATTACTCAATTTTCTTTTGGACAACTACATTCTTTCGAAACACTTTTATTTTTTAGAACATTGCTGTCATTAATATATATGTAATTTTTTTTATAAAAATATCTTTAAGTAAAATGGAATAATAATTTAATTATGAAATTAATTAAAAAATGAAAAAAACTTATATAATATAATCGATACTCTAAAAATAATAAAATAAAATAAATACTAAAATAGATATTCTAAATTCATATTTGACGAATTTCGTATTATTTATTTGTTAATAAATCATAACATTTCAATGTATTTACCTGAAATTATATATCTTCATATCTTAATTTTTAAACTTGTTCGTTTAGTTTGTTTCTAATTTACAATCTAAACTATATAGTTTAAATAATGTATAGTCTAAATCAGGGTAAAACTTCGATCGAACACTCTTTCTATTTCTTTTTCCTTTCACATAATGTTGCAGTCGTAAAAGTAAGTTATTAATAATAAGAAAATTTA